GGGAGGAGTCGGCGCCAGCGGGAACGGCGGCAGCCAGGCGGCACCTGGGGCTGGCGGGGACCCGCGTGAGGCGCGAAGCAACGCCTTGACCTCCGGGGAGGAGGAGCAGGCACCGGCGGAACCGACGGCTGAAGTTCCGGACGCCGGGGGCCGCGCGAGCGAGGTAATGGGAGCCGCGAGCCGACCGAGGTGCCGTGTCCGCAGCGCCGGGTGCAGGGAAACTGGCCCGAATCCCGGCAAGGTGTCGGGCCCCGCCCGCGCCCTCGTGCCCGCTTTAGGCCCTGGGTGGTTTGTAGGTGAAGGATCCAGGCCGACTCTTCAGCTCCCGGGTGTGAAATCCGAACGGAGGCTCCTTTTAGGTTTTGAGTGAGAAGAGAGGGAGGTCATTCATCGGGTTGGATGGAGAGGGCACCTTCCTGATGTTAGACGGCTGTCGAGGGTAGTTTGAGGGTCCGAGGGGGAGGGGATGAACCGACTGGATGGCGGGTTTTGAGAACTATCTTAATGCAATTGCTGTGAACCTGTGCCCGCTTTGAGCTGGTGTAGTAGGTTACATAATGGGTAGTCAACCTCAAGGTCAGTTCGAACCCACGAGCCTCTCCCAGGGAGAAAGATGAGGCTTTCCATTCTCGTGAAGATTTACAGACACTGGGACCCACCCGGGCACCTCGCGTTTGTGAATTGGAATCAGACGTTGAGGGATGTACTTGGCTTTTAAACTCCACCCTCCCAGCCCTCTGTGGTAGCACCCGCTCCGATTTAACCCAATTCCAGTTCCTTTTTGCTGCTTCCCTGAATGTAGGAGCTGTGGTCAGTGTACACCATGAGGTCAGCTGGCAGATGGGCCTGCTGTGATCTAACCACCCGCCCCCACCGGCTTCCCAGACACTTTAAACCTCTTACTAGCATAAAGAAAACAGGTACCTTTATTTTCACTGGGACACAAACAAAATCCCTTTGGTTTATGGAAGCCCTTCTGCCACTTAGGAAACAAAGTTATCAGAGTCTGTTGACTGAAGTATCTGCCACGCTCCATGACCTCAAATTCGGCTGATGCCCACCAAACTACGTTACCCAAATTCCTGCGAAAAGGGCCTCTTGAATACTTCTTGACCCACATGGCAGTGTCTTAATGACTGGTGGTGGGTACCCACCAACTAGTGCTCCTCCCATATTTTTGTGGAGTGCAGTCTTATGCAAAACAGGTCCAAGAGCCCAACTGGTTTGCTTGCTGCTCTTCACAATTGCCCTGTTTGTGTAGGCAGTTGCCAGACTAGCTTCTCCACCCTCTCTTGGAAGAGGTCATTGTGTCGAAGTGCTCTGTGATTCACGGTAGACTGCCCTAGTCCGTTCCTTTTCCCTTGGGCTGGAGCCTAGTGGGGAGGGGACTATGGAGTTTAGGTGGGCTTTGGCTGTTCAGAAATCTTCCAGCTTGGACCCCATGGGGTTTTTCTTTCCTGAGCCTTCTGCCTGCTAATGAAGGGTATGTGCACTTCTATCAGAACTGGTTTTGTAGCATTTGGGGTAGAAACCCAGTGCTGGGTGCTGTACCAGATGGCATCCAGACCCCCTCACAGCTGAATGTCAGCCATCTTGCAAGTGCGCAGAGACCTGGATGGGAGCGGAGGCCGGCTGCTCGTTCGTTGAGAACTTCTCTTCAGCGTCACCTTACGGGTGACCATTTAGAAGAAGCTCTGGTGTCATCCTTGGGCCCAGCCAGATTCCCCTTGGAGGCCTTAAGTCCCAGCTTTCCAAGAGGAGTGGGTGAATGTCAGGGCCTTTCTTCCTGGCTGGGGTGTGTGAATCTGCTGGGCCATGTTGGCTGTGATAACATCCATTTTGGCAATGAGAAGCTGTCATGAACCTTGTAGTTTGCCAAGCTAATTCACCGTTGTCATTATTAACACCTTCTGCATCAACCTTGTGAGGTATGCAGCCAGCCATCCTTATAGCCAGGTTGTCCCTCACTAGGTAGCTTTGGCGAAGTCCCCTAAAGCCAGAGCAAGGTTAGGGGACTTCGCCAAAGCTTCATGGTTAATTAGTGCCAAAAGTAGGACTGGAACCTGAGTCTCCTAGGGGACTCCCAGCCTGGCACAGAAATCAAGAACCCGTGCTGCCCTCAGGTTCCCTGGATGGTCCACGGGGTAAGACGGAAATGTGACGCCCCTGCGCAGCAGTGCTCTGGACCCAGAGCCTCTGCTTGCCTGTGCTAGTATCATGTTTCCATTTTGGTTTACTTGGGATTTACCATCCCCCCACCCCCCTTGGCGGCAAAAGATACACAAGGGGGCTTCACAAAGTTCTTGGCCCAAAATTTCATCTTCTAGTTACACTTTCCATGAACTTTTTTTTAGCCCCTCCCCCCCCTAATTAGGTTGATAAAGAATTAAGGAATGCAGTCTATGTAAAGTGTGACATACCTGCCACCTCTTAAGACTTTCTCAAGGTTAGCTGTTATTCCTATCACAGGAGTGCCTTTTTGGTGTTAGTTGTGCATAGGTGCGCCTTTCATTCAAGTTGTAAGAGATCTGGTTCTAAAGTATAACTTTTGAACATAGCAGAAAGAGTAGGGGATTTTCCAAGTGTCAAAAGAACTCTTTTGGTTTCACTTTAGTGGGGCTAATCATTATCTGAAACCAGAACCCAGAATTCCCCAAGGCAGACACGCTTCCCTTCTTAACCACAACCATGCACTGACAACAAAGAGTCGTGGCCATCTTCTGCAGAGGAATGCATGGGTTAAACCGTTTGCAGAATTGGATATGTGGGATTCCCAGCACCAGTGTCACCAGTGTATCAGAGCGCTGTTACCCCTTGAAGAGACCCAGAGGGGTTGTGGTCACCTTGATGGGGGTTCCTGCCTTCTGGAGAGGATCCTCTTCTGGCTTGGGACCAGCAGGTCCTCTTGGCTCGCTGCCCATCAGAATGGGTTTCTCCAGGTCACAAGAAGAATACTGGCACAGTTAGTACCTATTTCGAGGACGAAAAGGAAGAGAAAGCGATTCCTTAATTGCTAAAGTAAAGTTTGCTTTGTTGTTTGAAAACCAGAGATGGTCCCTAGTGCCTGGGCATTTGAGGATAAATACAATTTGGATCCATACCTGTTTTTAACTAGTCTGCTTATTACAAACATTACAGCCCAATGACCTTTTCTTTTTGCTCACTATGGGTGTTTGAAGAGGCACTTAGGGACTTCATACGGAGTGAAGCAAGTGGCAGGGCCTTCCTCTCCCTTCTGGCTGTTTTTTTTTTTTAAATCGTTTTATTAGGGACTCATACAACTCTTATCACAATCCATACACACATCAATTGTGTAAAGCACATTTGTACATTCATTGCCCTCATCATCATTCTAAAAACATTTGCTCTCCACCTAAGCCCCTGGCGTCAGCTCTTCATTTTTCCCCTCCCTCCCCGCTCTTCCCTCCCTCATGAACCCTTTATAATTTATAAATTATTCTGTTGTCATGTCTTGCTTCTGGCTGTTCTTTAATAGTTTTATTGGCACATAATCCACATATCATACTGTTTTACAGTTCAGTCATATCGGGAGTTGTACAATCATTACCACAATCGATTTTAGAACATTTTCATCTTTCTTGTACTCATTTTCTCCCCGTTGCCCCCGATCCACCCCTGCCATACCGTCAAGGAACCATCAATCCAGTTACTGCCTCTATAGAGTTACCTACCCTGGATTTCATAAACAGAAAAACATTCAAACAACAAACAAAGGTAACTAACAACAATAACAAAGTAAAACAGAACAACTTCAATTGCAAAGAAAGTAGAAAATATTAAAAACTAGAACACCTTTAAAAAGGGTGAAAAATGAGATCCATGGTAAGGTGTTAAATTGTAACCTAACTACATCTGCAGTAATCCACTTCCCACTGCATTCTGTCTATCGGCCAGGCTATTCACGCCCCTGGTTTATGGTCAGAGGGGGTTCACTAGAGGTTTAATCCACATGTATTTCCCCTCCACTCTTTCTTTTTTTTGCGCTGAAACAAATTTTTAATAGGTCAAAAGGGATAAATAAGATAACTACATTTTATAAATGTAATTTATAATTACAATTAAATAAGATAATTACATTTTAACCTAACTATATCTACCATAATTGATTTTGTAGTCTCCTCTCTGTCTGATAAGACTATTCACATCCCTCAACTTTGGTCAGATGGGATTCACTGGGGTCTGAATCTGTGTGTGGGCCTTGTATATGGAATTTTGGCTTCCACTGTCATCCATAGCCTTCTGCAAACCTGATGTTCACAGCTTAAGCTCTGCTACTATTCGCTCTTGTGGATATGGATTATATTGTCTACAAACCTTGGATCACACAAGCTGGTGTGCTTCTTCCGTGTGGACTTAGTTGATGCCTCACTTAGATGGCTGCTTGTTGAAGACAAGCCTTAAAGACCCAGGACACTATTGTTTCTGATAGCCGGGCACCATCTAGTTTCTCATCACTCTTTGCTCTAGCACCCATATCTTCAGTGACCTCTTCTTGAGGGAAGCATCAAGCAGAGTCCCTTCTGGCAGTTCTTAAGTTTACCTAGCAAGTAGGCCCCAGTGTGCAAGAGCAACGTCAGTTGCATTCTTGGCAGCAGTTGGTGAGTGTCTTGGCTCCTTGGTAGCAGGCCTTGATTATATGCCCATGGGGAATTGTGGGCTTTGCCAGCTTGATGAGCCACCTCGGGCCCGTCATTCACTGCACCTGTCCCTTCAGCCCTTCCCCTTGGCAGCTAGGTTACAGGGATGTCACCTCGGTGATGACTCCTTGTCCATTCTCCTCCTCCCACTTCCTTAGTTGATAGCTGAGACAGTGGGAACTCAGATTTGATCTGAGAGGGCAGGGTCCAGGCTCCATCTTAGCAGCAAAATGGTCTAGTGGTCAATGTGCACACGGAGTCTGACAACCTTGGTTAGATCTCTGCTCACCGTGGGCTGGTTGTGTGATTGCACCATACTTCCTAACCTCTCTGGGGCTTGGTTGTCTTCCTCACCTGTGAAATGGGATTGCAGTAGTACCTTAGGGAGTTGCCGTGAGTGGCAAATGTGATCATACAGATCAAGTTCAGCAGGGCCGGGACATGAGAGAAGCGCTCCAAGATGTGCACTGCTACTGCTAATGCAGCCAGACTCACTGCCATCAAG